AACATTTAAGCCAATCCAAACAGGCTCTTATGCTCTACGTGAAAAAATTATCCATACCATATTTTTCACAAAATTTAAAATAATTTTTTTTTTTACAAAATATAAACTTATAGGTCAAATTTATATTTTAAAATAATCAAATTTAAAAAAAATTATGATTTTCTAAGAATTTGAGATTTTGCTTGATATCCATGTCAAAAACATAACCTTCTAGAGTTAATTGAGAAGGTGACAAAAAAGTCTTAAAATTAAAATTGGTAACAAAAAAAAACTGACCAAGTCAAACCCCTTCTTAATTAGTGATTAAGATAATTGGGGATTAAAATGTAATATTTAAAACTTCTAAACTTTTAAAAATATTCAAATAAACCCATTCCCAATAGTATTTCTTTTTCTTTCTTGCAACAGCTTGAAACCCATTCCCAATTGTCTTTCTTTTTCTTCCTTGCAACAGGTTGTAGCAGAGGGAGACGACATTGTTGCGAAAAAATTGTTGGTGACTTCCAATACCTTCGTCTTGGTCTTCTTCGTCACAGCCGTCATCTACCTCAAGGTAACACTCTATTCTTTTCTTTCATTGTTAGGTTTTTGAGATTGTAAAGATTGAAAATCCATTGGGTTTTATTAGGCCTTCTTTGTTTTTAGCATATGGAAGTTTGTGGGTTTAACGATTTTGCTTGGTAGGGTTTTATTGCGGAAAAAAGGTGGGTCTTTTACACAAGATTTGTGTGATTTCATTGATCCTTCTTTTGTTTTTTTTGTTATCTATGTGGGGTTGTTCTTATCTTCTTCTATGTGGTGATTGATGGCTCTTTAATGTCTGCATTTTAATGTTTTGCCCTGTTTTAGGTTCTTGTTTCTTGTAGAAAAAAGAATTTGGTTGTTTTTGAGGTAAATGTTTGAGACATTAGAGGTGTCTTTCTTGGACCTATAATTGTTTCTTATCTTATGGAGAATGTTGTTCTTAGAGATTATTTATTTTTCTTACTCTTAAGTTAGTTTGATCCTTGGTAGTTGAACACTGCTATTAGTTGTTATCTTCCAATATTATGATGTTCGTTAACTCTTGGTGGGTGTGTTTCACATAATGTATTATAGTCAACGCGTTCAAGATGTGTGGCAGCCTGTGGAACCAAATCTCTTATCCGATTAAAATGATCACTGAACACATCAATATTATATGCTTTTGCCACATTATAAAAGTGGCGGACAACACTCGCATTGTGAAAATTATTTCGAATATTTTCTCCTAAGTGCCTCATGCAACAACCATAATGAGCTAAAGGAAATACAATTGAAACCATTTTTCTAATACTTTGATGTCTATCAGAGATTATGCACAATTCAGGAGTATCAAGTACAAAACTTCTCAATTGCTCGAAAAAGTATCGGTAGGAAGCATCACATTCAGAGTCTACTACGCAAAATGCTACCGAAGAAATATGATTCTCCGCATCCTGTGCAACAGCAGACAACAACACACCACCATATTTACTTCTCAAAAATGTCCCATCAACAGCTATGACTTTTCTCATTTGTGCGAAACCAAGAATCCAAGCTCCATATGCCACAAAAAAGTACTTGAACCTGCCATTTTCATCGATCTTCAACGCCGTTTTACTTCTCAGATTAGATGTCCTAAGCATATGACTATACGCATCAATCACTCCATATCCATGTTCATGTGTCCCTCTTACCAAAGACTTTGCAATCTCGCTATCCATCCAAACTTTCCAATAACTAACCTTGCATCCAAATTCAATACGGATAGAGTTTTTCAAATCTTTTGTAGATGGACCTCTACCTTCGGGATATCTATCTTTGAAGTATGCTCCAATGACTTTTGCTGTGGCATGTGGATTATGACTCGTAAGATGTTCCGAGCCACATGTATGCATCTTTTCATACTTTTAAATATAAAATCTATCAGAATTTTCAACTTTCACCTCTCTTAGCCACCACTTGCACTCAAGATGCTCACATTTGACACAATACACTGAACACGAATTAATTACCTTCTTCAATCTAAAATCTTTTTTGACACAAGCAATTTTCAATGTAATATCTAATTCTTGTTTATTCTTAAATGACATATCTTTGTAAAAACCTGTTCCATTATCTTGAGCATGACTGCATTAAGTTAATTAATTATCAGCTAAAGCAAAAATTAATTAAGTGTACAAAGAGGATGAACTTTTAGAAATAAGTAAATTTATGAGTTCATAGTACTTGCCTATCAGCAACTTCACCAATAATGGGTAATCTATTCCGAACTTCAGGAGAAAGAATATGTTGACATTCACGCTCTTCATTCGAAATATTCATCATCCTATCACATTCATCGTTCAACACTTGTTGGTCATCACATAAATTATGATTCTCCACCAATCTTTCAACCATGTAGATTCTTAAAATACATCTAGGTTCATCTTCCAAATAAGTACTTAAACTAAGTTGATCATTTATCTTAAAAGGAGCCGTCTTCTGCTTTTCACCACAACTATGCAGGTAAGTGATCACAATATCTTCCAACTCACAATTTAATTTACAACAAGTAATGATTTTATTCGCAAAATCATCATATGCAATATCTCGATGCACAATCATCGCAATTGTCGCGGCCAATTCTTTACTCTTCCAACGCCAAATATAACGATTGTTGGACTCGACCCATTCACCATTACAATCAACTGGTACTACTATTCTATCTCCCATTAATGATGTTGAAGATACCTGAAAATATTGTAACTTAGAACTAAAAAATTGATCATAAAAAAAATT